TTTGTTAATGAAATATCCTAAGCATCTGTTGAACATCCGTTTTATTGGAGAACCGGTTGCATTACACAAAAACGAAAAGACAAACTCATAGTTTTCTCACGGAAATTAATTGACAGTTGGCGCCTCTTTAGCCGCGTGAAGTGTTCACGCATCCCAACCGTTTTTTGATAAAAATAACAGAAGTCATATACAGGTCGATGTGTAAAGATATCACTTGCTGGATGTTACCTGTTTACTCATGACTTGGATGCTTATTTGTATCTGCCTAGTTTGGCCACCCACGCACAGAGAAAGTAATGAAACTTGCCACTTCGTTGATGGATTGGGACAGCTTTGTGGCATTGGCGTTTATAAGGAATGAACGTTCAGTGGTATTCAGGCAAGTCATTTGTGATTCCTATACTTCATGAGTAATATCTATCGTTTCATATCAATTGTGTACTTTATTACGTTTAGCCAATCCGTTGAATGTAGGGTTACACTGTGGTTCCGCATTCATCTGAGCGGGCCTCGGAAAATACAGTGTTTATGCTACATGTGATACCCAAGCATCATAGGAAAAAGATAAACATCTTGGCCAAGATCAATTCAAGTTGCAAATTAAGGAAATGGCATTTTGTTGAACGTCTCCAAGTCAAACATGGTCATTCAACGTTCAAAAAAGATACAAATATAAAACTTAGTTCTGGTAAAATCAGCGCGTTACAAAATCGTCGTTTCTTTGCACCCGACCTTTTCAACTCAGTGAATGAACATATTGGAAAATTCATTTTAGAACANGAATACCGCATGTGGTATCCAAGCGTCGTAATAAAAAGATGAATACTTTGGCATAGACTGATACGCATTAGAACTGTGAGAAATAGTATTCTGTTGAAATCTTCCGTCTGGAGTCGTTCGTGTTCGATGTTTGGTAGCCAGCTGACTCTTATTAGAAGCAGCTGTTCAAATTCACGAACGTCTCCATGTCAAACAATGTCCTTCAAATATCAGTAGACATTTTAGAAAATATCACCGCGTTCTGGAAAATCAGTACGCTACAATATTCATCGTGTGTTTTCAGCGGAAGTTTTCATCTCCGCGGATGAACCTACTGCAAAACATGAATGCACATTTTTGCAAGTCAACACGAATTCATTTTAGAACAGGTGTGTAAAATGCGTGACTTCAGAATATCCTAATAAGCCACCGACGTCGAATAAATTACTTCCACTGGTTTGGATGAATTACTAATTTTGAGAAGTGTGAGCTGGAGTAATCTCATAATCACGTGAATTGTAATATGAAAAGCAACTAATCATTGACATTTAGTCAAAATGAAATGTGGGTCACAATATAAAAACCAGTGGATTTTAATCCACTGTAAATCGGATATTATGAAATCCAACATCGCGACATTCCTGTTGATCATCATTTGCGTCAGCAGTGTANNNAGCCGATAATTGTTACTGCATCTGCTGAAGCAAACAGTGTCGTTGTGAGAAGCGGTAGCAAGAGCTGCCAGTACCGCGTCAAACCGGATTCCGGTAAACCGGTGAAGGTCTTTGTTAATGTAAGTGAACAAGAAGGATTGAATTTCAACTTGACTGTGATGTTTGAGACACCGATTGTTTGATTGATCAAATCTGTATTGCCTTCCAGTCGACGAGTGGAAGGAACTGTTTGAACGNAAATGTGGGTCACAACATAAAAACCAGTGGATTTTAATCCACTGTAAATCGGATAATATGAAATCCAACATCGCGACATTCCTGTTGATCATCATTTGCGTCAGCAGTGTAGTCGGTAAGTAACGCAGTTTCAATATCATATACCTTCAATCATCAGCCGATAATTGTGAAGAGGTTACTGCATCTGCTGAAGCAAACAGTGTCATTGTGAGAAGCGGTAGCAAGGGCTGCCAGTACCGCGTCAAACCGGATTCCGGTAAACCGGTGAAGGTCTTTGTTAATGTAAGTGAACAAGAAGGTTTGAATTTCATCTTGACTGTGATGTTTGAGACACCGATTGCTTGAGTGTTCAAATCTGTATTGCCTTCCAGTCGACGAGTGGAAGGAACTGTTTGAACGTGGCCAGTGGAGGGAAATCAGAAACGATCTGTCCAACAGGTCCAACGACTGAATTCACATCCAACTCGGCGATTGATATTAGTGCGGAGACCGTGACGAGTACAACTGCAGATGCCACAACGATAATCGCATCGACAGCTACGCCATCTCCCAGTCCAACATCACCCGGAAATAAGAATGAGTCAGAAGAAGCAGAGCCCGGAAGTAAACCGGGTGTTAACGTACAACCATCACCAGCGGGTGAAGGTGTCCAACAGCACGAGGAAGAAAAGGAAAACAAAGTGGAAGATAAAAAGGCAGCGGTGAAACCGTTGGAAATTCATGCTGCTCCTTCTGTTAAATTAGTAAGGAAAACCAGAGATGCTTCCACCAGTGCTCGACCTAATGACGTTACTGTTTATTATATGTTGGGTGAGTGACAAAAAGTAACCAGCAATTCGTAAAAAAAACAATTAGTGCTGAGGTCCACCAAATATTTGTAGAATATGATGCATCTAGCTGGATATGTTCACTTTGACGAAGCCTGAGAAATGATAATTCGGTTCTTCTCCATTTGTCATCTACTTCAGATGGTGTTTCGAAGTACAACCCGCCATGGTTCCTATTGCTGGGCCTATTTGCACATCTCGTCAACGGTGGTCTATAGTGGGTTGCTAATGATATTCAATCCTCAATGTATTTGCTTCATTCATCATGTAGAATTTCACCTGGACGTGTTGCACAAAAATCATCTATGCGGTTGACTGCAAGAACACCATTTCGGTTTTTGTTTTCCAGAACCACAAAATAAACGCACCAATCGCACATTACATTAACCATGTGAAATCTGTTCACGCTTTTATTAAACAAGAAATTATTATACTCACATGAACTACATTATTTTGTGTCCAATTTTACTCCATGGGATCGTTCGTGCAGCCCGAGTGATAACGCTTTCGCCAACGAAAGTCGACAAGAAAGTACATGATTTGGGATTTGCAAACCCATTGATGTGGAATTTAAACCTTGAACCTTGAATTCTTCACACGGAAACAATGAAATAAACGATCTCAGGCTTAACGCGGGTGGATGACACTCACATGTTGTCTGATTCATCATATCACTGGTAAGGCGCCGAAAATAATTAGAAATCGCTAATGATACTCATATGAGTGATAAGTTCTAACAACAGCAAATCATCTGTGACTTTTGTGAGTCACTGTTTCACAAGCATTGTCGTGCGATACATTATACATCATACTTTGGCACACGTGCGAGTTCTTCGATAAAAACGATAAAAATAAATAAATTAATGATGTACAGAGGAAAAAACAGATTTGAGCAAATGCCGTCAGTGCTTTTGACAATTGAAACTCCCAGATTGAACATTGAAATTGTTGAGCACCCTGATAGAACGAGTATGGAAATTGTGAAGCAACATTTGGTTACAAAGTATCCGGTACAAGCGACAGTTAATCAGATAGCATATTGATCATGAAACCGATTTTATGGGATTACATTATAGTTTGTTACGGCTAAAGTGGTATAGAATGCAAACTAGTGTAGAAGCTTTACAAATAGAATTTGTTTGACAACAACTTCCAACTGGATTTCCGTCCTGACCATTTAGGTTCTCGATATTGAGCTGAAATGCAATGGTATTTTGAAATAAGGACCGGTTATGTGCTGGTCCTAAACGATCGAGCCTACCCTGGAGCGGCGCCTACAGTTTTAGGACATTCGCGATCAATCAAATTTAAATACTGACGTCAATGACACGTACATGGCTTCTGAATACACGTCATTGGCGGATGGTGCCAGCCAATCCAAGATAATGCAGACAGAAGCAAGATTATGCAAGCAGTGCTGCAATCCAATTGGTGGAAGGCCAGATAGCCAATAATCTCCCTTTGTACATATTATTTAGTCACCTTCATTTCCTCCAACAAACGAACTACTTGCTGCCATTCCTCTGGTCTTTTCCTCGCATCTCGTTCTCGTGGGACATTGCGAGTCAGTGCCATTGCGGTCCAGTGCTTTTGAAATCCAGTCCGGCATAGCTGCTTATTGATTCGGGTCCTGTGATTCATATTGCGTGTTTGCTGTTCCGAATTCTTTGCGTATAACTACTAATCTTACAATCATTACAGGTTAACATGAATTATGTACAAACGTTGAATTGTGAGATAATTCATAGAGTATGAGTTTGCACAGTCAAGGATCAATCAAACTGAAATTCATCTTCAATGGCGAGTTTAGGATCCACAACTATAACACATACCACGATAAAACCATGGTCCGTTTCTGTCAAATGATGCAATCACAGGTTGTGAAAGCATTCCATCCGCCGAGTGTGAGTGAGTCCAGTGTAAGCGAGATCCACGATTGGAATTTCATATGGCCAACACCTGTGCTAAATGATGATGAACAATGATGAACACTCAGGCCATTAATGCTACGGGATTAACCTACTAATCGTCTGGGGGACGGTAAACGTGATCCAATAAGCAATCTCCTAGGGGGCGGGAATCATAACTCAGTGTTTGATGGTGTGTGTCTCAATCGACAGACCGGTGAATGCGAAACTGGTACAAGTGACGACAGCATGGAGTAGAGGAAGCGGGTGGGCACAAAGACAGCGACGGAGACGAGGATCTCTGGCGGGGTTGGAACAATAGTGCGGTCGATTGCGAGACTGACTGTGTTAACTCAGGTTCTGAGCAAGATGAAGTGGAAATGACAAGAATCAACGGATAATGAGTGGTAAACTTTCGGATCAGCTCACGATTACCGTGGCGTCAAACAGACTGATCACGTGAGATGGGGACGTTTTGGTCTATCATTTGTGAATAGGTCGACACATATTATTACGGAAATAACGTGAAACGATTGTAGGTCCGGATATGTATGATGCTGTTGGTGTCTCCTCCAAGCTGGAAGTGTTGTTCGTTGCGAAACGCCTCCGGAAAACCCTTTTAGATCATACCAAAAGCTACATATCAGTAAGCCGTGCCTAAATAGTTAGCTGTACATCTGTCCATTTAAAATCTAGTTGTGTGGAATATCTTGAATAGACGCAACTGAAGTGATGGAGAAATACCACTTGCATGGAACAAAGAAGATGTAAAAATATGTTTTTTGCAGATACCTACGATGTAAATTAGAAAACGAATCCTTGCCGGACCTCGAGCGGATAAATCCTTCAACAAACCATGGAGACAGTTCGATTGAGCGCTGAAATTCCTCAAGGTATCTACGCCACAAGGCACAGATTATATTCGACGATCTGTATATATTCGAAAAGGTGCATAGCAAGTTGTTGAGAGATTACTAAAATATGAGGAATAGTTAAGCACGTGTGTTGAACACCGTATTCACAGATCTGTGATCCCGCGGTTTTCATTCATGCCCCGTTGTGCGTGTGACCACGGTGTGAGGGATCGGTGTTGCTGTATGAAAATTTGTGTGTGTGGGCAGGTGGGCAAGAGGTAGGTCCCTGAACCCAAGGAATAAAACGCGTATGTGCAGATAGTTCAGGGGCCAAAATTGAATACATATGGTTTCGACTATGGTCGGTTAGGGGCACCTAGAAATAATGTGGATTGCTTGATTTGGGTGAACACCATGCAAGTGATTGCCAAGTGTGCGAGAATCGTACTTTGGGAACCACATTCACTCAGCTAGCGCGGGTGTTCTTTCATGCGGACAGATAACTGCCCTACATCCCAGAAGCGTCCTATCCAAGTTGTTTAACACCCCTGGGTTTGCGAAACGTAGGTGTACTTTTCTCTTCTTGTTGTGCGCGTTTTATCGAGCACCTAATGATACGTTTTTGAAGAATTATGAGTTGTCGATTCAAAGTGCCGGGATAAAGTAAACGCGGCAAGTGAAGAAATGTATGCGGTTCAAGTGCTTACCCGTCGAACAGTAATAAATATATTCTATTCTTTTAGGTGCTTCTCAATGTTTCTGTTGCTTTGCATATGAATCGTACATAACAAAATGCTCACTTAGTTCCACTTCCGACTTCGAGATCAACAAAATATTAAGGTGTGGTGGTACACAATCACAACTTGATCCTTTATGGTACAAAATTGGATTGGTAAGAACCCTGTTCTACAGAGTTCGTCCAGAAGTGATGGGGATTGTACAGCGAGATTTGACGATTGCCTTTTCCTTCAACGGTTATCCCCTGCCTTTTATAGAGAAATATTGCACACCTACCATTCTTAGGCCCAGATAAACTACGGTCGGAAAAAAACAGTTTTCATTGGTGTGCCATTTGAAGGAGTGATGTAATTGCACGGGTTGGTCGTGGGCTTCATACTACAGTTGAGTCAACCTATCCTGCTTCGAAGCTGATCATGATTCACAGAACAACGAACTCATTAATGCGTTCAAACATAGACAGATCCAATGATTCGGTCACCTGCAATTGCAATTATCTTTTTCAATGTACTTGCGGTTCGCGCTACGTCGGAAGGACTGAACGCCGACTGTTGACCAGAATGAGTGAGCATGTTCCGAACAACTTATCACTTAGGGGAGGAAAGCTTCCACAAGCGCAGTGGCACGACATTTGCTCGATACCGGACACTGCATCGACAAACGCAAAGCTTTCCGCGTTGTGCTCAAAGTTCGAAGCCCAAGGATGCTTAGGTGTGTTGAAGCGGTTGTCATTAGCCGTTTAAAGCCTGACCTATGCGTGCAAAAGGCCTTTGTTATTCAGTTGTTATTACCATGGTAATTCCCCTCCCCTTTCCTTTCCATCATCTCAACCGTTCTCTTACATCATCGTTGTCACTTCGCTCTTCTCATTTTATTATTATTACGTTGACCTACTTGGTTGAACATTTTTTTACTCGGTAAACCTTCTGCGTCTATTCGAATTCATTTGTGGTTGCATCTTTCTCGCATTAAGTAAACATGTCTAACTCTCTTTCCACCCAGATGTACAAGATGACGGTGCCGTATGTGAAATGCTATTATTACATCATTATTTTATGGAGCAGTAATTTTAATACAATACTGCATACATTTTCACACAAATCCAGCGGATGTCGAACTAGGTCCTGATCAGTACAACTGGTGCACAGTACACAAGAACTGGCCGATTTGGCCCTTAATTATCACCATTCTGTCGTGATGCAACAATGAACAGCCTAATGTAGTAGCATTTAGTCCTGCACTGGCTAAACGTGCATTCGTTGGAAGCGACACGTCATTCATATTTAGCCAATATTAGCGAGCTTTCATCATCTGGAGATACTGGACCAAATATCAAAGTTGTCCATTTTCCTTGTATTTCAGCGAAGCATAGCTATACATTGGTGAACTTATCAATCGATCTTTCGCATTTACAATAGTCTATGTGTGTGCCGAGTGTCTTGTCCAATGCACAGTTCAATTTCCTAGAATATGCTCCTGTATATGCAAATAATCATCCTTCATTCACATAAAAGTTTTCTGTTTATGCCAAACGAGATACAAACTAGAACCCCGTCTGGAAGACAGTAGTCTTCTAGATACGTGATTGAATTGGCTTCAGATATGACTAAACAAACTGGATGATAATAAAACTCGATAAATCAGATAACGGAGAATACCACTCAATCGGGGATCAATAAGTAGGAAACTATGATAATTTATAACGGAAGACATGAATCG